AATTCCCGCTGTAAAACTTCCACAACTGTTAGCGGCGTGGAGTCAACACGTGCAAACGTGTCAAAAGCGTGAACGTGAACTGGATTCATGTTGGGCCCTTCCCATAAACTGACACGTGGATCCGCACCTGCCACGCACTTCGTCACAGAAGCACTTCCGGTCCCGCCTACTGGTCCAATCCGGTCCCACAGATGGGTCTTTCCAAGGGCTGTTTCTCTTGGGGGTTTCATCATTTTCGCTCTGAACTTTGCATATGGTCTTCAATGACCATGCCCAACACCTGTACACAAGGAAGGATGAGCAGTCTTTCCGTGGAAGATTCCTTTAAGCAAGATCCTGCAGCTGAAGAGTGCCTACTCGAATTTCTTTCGTTTTGAATGAAATGCAGTAGAAGTTGATCAGATGTTCTACCTGCAGTTGATCCGGCTTTATATCGAAGTGATAACTTGTGTGATCGCTGTATGTCCGGGCGTTACTAGTACCACCATGGGCGGAGATGAACTTACGCTTTAAACATGGTGAGATACTCACAAGAAGGGTTACTATATTGCCTATGTGCGTATGATATACTTATATAACTCACTTGTAGACTCGCTTCTCCGTGTGGCATATTCTATGTGCCTAAAATAGTGAAGCAAGGGGCCTAAGGTATCGTTTTGTTGTAGGAATGGAGGCGATGTTTTTCCGTGGAAGAATCCTTTAATCATTGTTAAGGTGATTCTGTAATTTTTTGTTTACCAAGCGATATCAATATCATCTGCTGCCCTACATCAGTCAGATGCTGATATTGTGATGAAAATGACTGCACTACCACGTATACATTCTTCCTGGACAAAGTCTGACTCGGAACATCTGGAATCAACCAAACTTTCCATAACTTTCGGATTGGGCAATTGGCATCACATTAGTCTGGAAGTATAAATGCGCTGAAAGGCACCGCAGTCCGTAGTGTGGGCCAAAAATGTATTCAGCCCATTTATGAGCTTAAATTGGAGTTGATTTTGTGGTTCCATCTCGAGGCGGGGCTCCTCAACATTGATGCATTCTGTTCGTCAGATCAACAAAGTGGGAATGTCATGTAGCCAAAGGTTGCATCATTATTTGTTAGCGGGGTGTCCCCCAAGAGGCCCGTCGGAGGGAGAGACGCAGATGCGGCAAAGGACGAGTCGCAGCGCGTGCTGTGCGATATGAGACGTAGTATGGTACACTCTATTTAACCTGACGCCTAACCGCTACAGTATGCGCTGCGACTCGTCCTTTGCCGCGTCTGCGTCTCTTCCTTCGCCGCGCGACGGGCCTCTTGGGGGACACCCCGTGTTAACGAGATCAGCGCCAAATTCTTTATCCCAGTTGAAACAGATACCACAACTACAAAACTGTAGCGTTGTTTCGGAGATCTTTCAGAAGGAACCGAATGCCTTGTTTCGAAAGAAGATAAAGTTACGCCGAAAAGCTCCGATTACAAATGGGATATGAAGGCATGACGTGTGAGACGACAGATTCCCTGTCAGCTGCCTTTCCGTCACATGGCAACCTATGCGCTCTTTTTGGTGTGCTTCTTTCACATGAAAATTAAAAGCGGACGAACCACGTGAACCGGCAGTGAAGGAAAAAGGAGAATTATCTGTCGAAAACACTGCGGCGGTTAAAAACTTTCTTATTCTTTTTTTTGTGATGCGGAGTAGGCAGAAACGATGAGGCACTGATGGTGAGTGCCAAGGATGGAAGATGGGCGAGAGATAGTACAGCGGATTGCGGGGAGAAGGCACAGATCGCCTGAGTAAGCGTTACACCGGCAGCACCAGACAGATCAAGTGACAAGTCCCTAGCGTCGTTGTCGCGAGCATTCGAACCAGGGACCTCCTGACCTTCTGTCTGATACCCATCAAGGGGTTAAACCACCTCAAGTCAGGGAAGCGCCTCTCGGTATCATCGCGGAAAGCCATCTATGAGAAGCTTTTTAGGTGTCCCTTATTCCGCCAACTACTCCATCGTTGTATTAGAAGATCATAGGGTGCCCATTCGTACGTAACAGTACGCAATCAAGCATAATGCCCACGGTTGCCCATCAGTTACAGCAATAGAACAGAAGGGATATCCGGTACAAAAAGTGGTTGCGTAGAGTCCGCGACACTAGCGCCTGTAGCCGAAAAGTTCTTCTACGTACCACTTTCGTTTCGTTGTTTAAAGGACGAATTCACGATGAAAAAGCAACCCATTTCAAATTAACCTAGGATGGTGAGTGGTACACGAAAGAAGGAAGAACCATGAGAAACGGCCCAGAACCCGAGAAATGGTACCCCTTCCTTGCCCGTTGATTCGAGCATTGATGCGACTCTCATCGCTGTGCCCTCTTCAACACTACGCTCTCTCAGCTATCTAATCACTCGCCACGTATTGAACTACGGCGAGTGATCAGATGATCGGTGGGCGGAGATCGCCGGACCCGCCAGCTTTGAGGCATGATAGGTCGCCGAGGTCAAATTTTTCCATGCGAATTGCGCGTCAGTTCGCACCCTCAGGAGGTCCGTGGGTCCCTCAACTAGGTCAGTTTCCCTTTCTTCGACCTTCATTCTAATCGTGAATTCCTCCTTTAAGTGGCTCAATTACAAAAAGCGGGGTCCAAACAAAATATGGAGACATGCCATATACACAAGTAGAGAAATGTAGTAAGTAATGTGAAATTCTTCGAATCAGGTTCTCTTATTCAGGAAGCACTCGATCGTTTTGCACAATTCTTCATAGCTCCGAAATTTGCTGAGACTGCGACTGAAAGAGAGGTTTGCATCGTAAAGTTCGAGGGAATCACTCATTCATAGGCTGCTCCTGTACTTGGTGAATATGTGCCGAGCATGTTGGCTACATCACTGTAGTAATCGATCGTAGCACTCTTGACTGGAAACATTTTTCTAATTGATGTTGGTTCCACGGCGTCAGTTCCACTGCAGACCACGAGAAACTAAATCCGGGTTTGAAGGTGTCACACTTCAGCGGAAAACGACGGTTGTTACGCGGTATCGAAATTCTACAAACGAGTGCATCCAGTAGCGTGCTGCAGAAATAAGAGGTGGTTAAGCAGATATTCAAAAAAAAAGAAAGAAAAAACGAGATATTTCAAGGTGATTTCTGACATGTGATGGGAATTATTTTGAGAAGTAGTTCATTTTTCGTTGTTGAAGTTAAAAATGAAGGCGTGCCATTTGATGCCTAACAAAAGATTCAGTTTCTCCCAACTCGGTCCTATTAATCCTTCATCATACGCTCGCGTTCATCGCCCCTACTGTGAGCTAGTACCGTTCCTTTCCCGGAGCAAACCATACGCGGGTCTCCGCCATGCCTCACCCTTGAAATCAGGGACCGTGGACCAGAACGCTTTCCGGTAAGGGAACACCCTCATGGCTGAAGAAGTCGCTGATTTCTGGTCACATTCCGGAAAAGATCTAATATATGCCCATAGCCTGCACAGATTCAACAAATGAGCTGGTCCCTTACTATAAGAAGCACTTTTCTTCTCGGCGTATTTGATCATTGCGCAAGTTGAGCTCTAGCCAAAGAACAAATATCGTGTATATTTTCACCTGCTACTGTATGATCTACATGTTTACCAGGTGCGGCGCAGCTTAACCTGGAAAGTCTTTCAGAACATGAAGCGCTTTTTCAAAACGGATTTTTTGCATTTTATAGAGACATGCGCAGGGAGCATAAAACCGAGAATAATTTTTTTCTGAGCGGCTCTGGGAATGCTAAAAAACATGTCGAAACCATGGCTGGTTCGATCCTCCACTGAGGACAAATTTTTGCATTTCTTTGATTTCCACTTTCTTGGGCTCATATATGTTTAACTCATTCAGTGAACAAAATGTT